TGGAGTCAAACCGTTGGCCAACAGTTGGATGACTTGCGCCGGGCGTTCGCTGACAACGGGTTTGTCATTGATTTGATTGAAGTCCATCCCGACAGCGACCGTATGCCTCGTCAGCATATAATTGGTATGACTATGTTTATTCTAATACCTACTGTATATGTTTTATCAGCATACTTTATTCAGGTTTATACTTTATATACTGTACAAATAATTGTGTTTTATTTAATCAATAAAACCGATAGATTTTATGCCAAATATGATGAACGGGTGGCGAAACTATTTCGATACCGACAAACAGTTTGAAAGCGACAAAAAGGATTTAATGGAAATAGTGTTCGACTCGTCAACCAATCCCGAAGCCGAGCGGCCCGACCCGAAGGCGTGGTCACACTTTCTGGCCAATGAGAGCATCACCGAAGTGGTCAAGACTGAACAAATTGTTCAAATTGTTTGCCAAAAAATTTAATTGCGCGAAACACCAGTTGTATTGTAATAGTGAAGCGATTTAATAAATTCTATGAGCTTTTAATTTGATGTCTATTTATTACAGAACAATACACTTATTAAAAATAAGTTATTATGCAATGATTATATTGTCTTTATTATTAACAACACTGTCTATCAATATTCAATTAAAATTACGTTTAAATAAAACTCTAACTAATAAATGAAATATTAATTATGAGTTCTGTTTTGTAAATTTAAACAAATAATAAAAAATATAAAATAACAATAAAATATCATTTAAATGTTAACAGTCTTTATAACATTCTTAAATTGTTTTTACTTTATATAATAGTGCCTGTTAAGTCTTAATGTGAATCAATAGATTTTACAATTTTCTAAGGGACAGTTAATTAATGTTGCCAGAAACTCCAGGTTGCCCGGGAGTCTCCCGGAATCAGGGTCCGTCTCCCGTTTTGCGGTGTAGGTCTCAGCTTTATGTGGACAACTGACGGCATTAAATTGTGATACAACTGATTGCAATACGTTTATACTTTTTTGTAATTTAAATATTGTCATACAACTGAATACTACTATTTGTCAATTTATAATCTTTGTTTGTATTATCTTATAATTAATTTGTTAAGCGTACAATAAGTAGATTTATTTGATAATTACATATAAATGGCTATTTAGGAATATTTTATACACTTAACGTTGACTATATAACGATACGCACTGAGAGTTAATAAAACGCAATCAAAAGTTGCTCAATAACGTATTACTTATTGCAAAAACAATAATTAAAATGCAAAATTGTATGCCACGTTGATTAACATGCTATTTTATTCCAGAACATTCTAAATTGTAAATTTATAGCATACTTCCAATTGTTTTGCAAAAATAAACGTCATAGTTAGTGTTGCCAACTCTGATCGAATACCGCCTTGAAAATTACAAAATTTTTCTAAATTCACCTTGACCAAACCTTGACCACGATTATTATTGCATATTTGATTATATGCTGACGAGGCGTGGTCACACTTTCTGGCCAATGAGAGCATCACCGAAGTGGACACCTTGACCAAACCTTGACCACGATTATTATTGCATATTTGATTATAAATATTTTTGAAATATGAGTAAAATGTTAATTTAAGTTTTAATTTAATAATAACGTTAAGTTTTATTATAATACAGTGTATTTTTCATATAAGATACATGCATTTTGAAGACAAAAGTCTTTCTTATGATAGGTTTTTAATAAAAGATTTGTTTGGCTATTATACAAATAGGCAATAAATATTATTCTGGGCTTTAAATAGTGTGTTCATTACAATAAATACCTAAAATAGACATACGGTAATTGCATTTGCTCTCACCTTGACCTGTCTATGTCAAGGTGAGACCCTCGTCTTTCATCTTGACAAAAACCCTCTTACTTTGCAAATCAAGGCAAACCTTGACCAGTTGGCAACACTAGTCATAGTGAAACAAAACATTTATTTTGTCAAATCAAAATACAGTTCCTTTACCATGTTCTAGTTTAGATAGAATTAATTAACAAAGTTATAGCTTTAACAACTTTATAGCATAATACAAAAGCTCAAAGAATTTACAAGGTATTTATATAACAATTTCAATGAAATTCAATGATAATTTGTTATAAGTTATAAGTTATAAATCTATTTTACGTTTAAATCAAAGTAATTTGGCATTACAATGAATACTATTTTACAAATACAAAGCTATAAAAATTTTGATGTTAAAAATAATTGAACTAATAAATATAGAAATCACATATATTTGCATAGATATAATCCCCTTATTTAAGTCAATAAACAAAAATTTAGCTCTAAGATAATCCCAAACAAATTGTTGTTTCAAAATAAAATCCAACATCACCGTGACATTTGCAGTAGAAATCACACACTAAGTTATAACTCAATTTATCAAAAACCTAGACAACTAGAACTGACAACTAGGGTGACCAACTGTCCTTTTTTACCGGGACAGTCCTTGTTTGGCACATTTTGTCCCGGCGGAGTTTTCACAGAACCATTGAGCGTCCCGGGGAAAATGGCATGTTACCCAAAATGTCCCTGTGGAAATTTTGAAAGGTTCTGCAATGTCCCGGAATTTTTAATAATTTTTTATGAAA